TCTTTCCCACTGAGCCACCGGGGAAGCCCAGAGAAAAATCTTCATTTGGTTTTACTCCTTGGAGAGTGGCAGAGCCCCCTACAGGAGAGAGACCTTTTCCTGGCACCCATACCCCAGGGACACAGGAAGCAGAAGAAAAGAGGAAGCTTCCAGAAGGCAGGCAGGTGAGGGCGTGGGTGTGTGTGAGAGAGAAAGAGCCACAGCTGGGGTGTGAGGCCGTGGCCTGGCCACCAAGGCCACCTGCCTCCTCTTCCAGGGGAGCAGTGGGAGGGTCTACACGGCCACCCGGGGTGTGCACACGGAACTCCTGTACCTCGAGGCAGAAGCCAGGACACGGGATCAGGGACCGGGCCCCAGCATCTGAAGGTGCGTCAGTGGCAGAAGGTCCCGCCCTACTGTGACTGCACTGTCCCCAGCGTGAAGTCCAGGCTTTTCACAAGCTGGCTGGAGCTCAGCCTGTCTTTCCTGCAGCTTCTCCTTTCACAGCACCCCCACCTCTGCCCTGAATCCCCCTCTGCCCAGACCCACTGGACTACATCCTCGCAAAGCCATAGCCATGCCTCGAGCCTCTGCCTCTGTTCTGGCTGCCCCTGGAATGTTCTTCCGTGTTCCACCCAGTGACCTCCCGCATTCGGACCTGGCTGGACCCCTCCTGACAGTCAAGGGGATCCTCCTCTGCGTGCATCCCTCTCGCCGGGCACTCACTTCCCGGGAGTCAGAGATTCCGCTGATTCGTCTAGAAGACCAGGGACTCTGGCCCTTGGCTCCCCCACTGCACTGAGGAGCGAGCCCGGGAACCCCATCCTGGCGGGCACAGAGAGAGAATCCCCGCCACCAGCTGCGGCCAGACGACTCGAAGCCAGAGCAGAACAGGGTTCCAAGTCGGTAGGAGACAGGACCTTGTGCTGGCCTGCCCACCCCGCCCCCTGACCCTGCTAGTCTCTCAGGGTCCGAGACACTGACCCTTCCCTGCCCAGCTAAGGCCGAGGACTCTACTTGCTGTAGACCTGTCCAGCTGAGTAAAGCCAGGGTGCTGTGACACGAGGGGAGTGAGGAGGGGGCAGTCGGGTATCAGAGCAAGAGGGCCCCAGGCAGAGCGGTCAACCCGGAACCATGGGGCAACATGAGGGAGTTTGGGACAAACCAGGCAGCCACATGGTAGAGAAGCCCGAGCTGAGCAAGAGGAGCCGGACTGACTGGGCTGTGGTTGGGGAACCAATGAGCTTTGTCCACCTGATTCACATCGGCCCTGGAGAGATTCGGGCCGGAGATGGACTTGCCACGACAGGTGCATCTCAGGAGCAGCTGAGACCGGCGGAGGCCGAGACAGGCCGGGGAGCAGTTCTAGGGGCTGGAAGCTGCAATAGGAGTGGATCTGCTGTGTGTCCAGCCTTCACTGTCCAGCCCAGGAGAGATACTGCCCACACCAGTTTCCCTCCTAGAATCACTGAGCCCAGGGCTCTTCTTTTCGCTGTCTAACTGTGCCTCCAAAGGCTTGGGGGCTAGACTCCCCTACTCCCTCTGACTGTAGCCCTTCCCAGAGATGGGGTCAAGGCCGCAGGCAGACCAAGTAACTGCTGGTTGGCCTGAAAAACTCAGCTGAAACCCTGGACACGCTCAGACCTGAGATAGGAGATCTCTGGGAACTTGGAGTGACTTCCCTTCTCCTGAGTGGCGGACTAGGTGCCTTATGTTTTGAAACTCTTAACCTGGAGCTCCTTACATGCAGTGGGTAGGTGAGATGACCAGAGCTGAAGCCAGCTTTGCTGAGACACTCCCTACCTCCCTGCCTTTCTTTTCCCTCCTGGAATGAACTGAAACAAATGTCAAGTGGCGGCTGGGAGGTAACCACTCCTTAGTCTACTCTCAGACCTCAGATCATAGACCTTCAGTGTCTCACTGCCAATACCAGCATCCTTCTCAACATCTTTCCTTTTTAAAATTAATTAAAAATTTAATTCAATTAAAAAAAACCAGAGATTCGTTTTATCCTCTGATGGATCCCCAGTTCCCAGAACAAAGCGTAGAAGACCCTCAGTAACTATTTGTTCAGTAGGTGAATGAGTGATCTCCCTGCTAATGGGTGAGAAGGACATGGCCAATATGCCACTTACCTTGGTGCAGTCTCCACTTGCTGCTACTACCAAATGTCACCCTGCCCACACGGGAGGTGCCAAAGAGTTCCTGCAGGGCTGCCCCTGGCTACAGCCACCCTGCTGGCCCAACCTCTCAAGGTTCTGTCCTGCTCTGCCCCGGTCCTTGGCTTGGAGGCAAGCCCTCCTGGGAAGGGTGCCCACCAGTGGGACACTGCCAATGCCAGAGCTGATGTCTCCCCAGAGCTGGATCCCAAGATTGACCCTTTTTCCAGAGTTTCACTGACTTGAGTCAAATCTTTTAAGTCCACCCCTCTCCCCGCACCCCGCCCCGCCCAGAAACCTCCCAACTTTGAGAGGCACGCCCCCTCCCAGTCTCAGTCACATCTCTCCAGCCCTGGGCCACCGAGACCAGTGGGGTCCTGTGTCTTTAACAAAAAGCAAGTGTAATAAGTAAAAGTGATCTGGTGAAGAAAACATCCCTCATTTATTTTCCAGGGGCCTTGACTCATCAATCTTCCCCCCAACCTGCTTTGTGCTCCGTTAGTTTTGCTTCCTGAAAGAACAGAATTTGGTTTTCTAATAGCATCTGTCGTGTGCAGGGTGTCCCCAAACATCAGTAGTAATGAGTTGGAAGTGGAACAGTTGGACGCCTTCAGGAGCCAACACCAGATGTAGGGCCTCTGTGGGTCCCTCGGAGGATGGGGGGCCAGAGAGCTGGGCAAGGGCTGGGTCCAGGGTCCACAACTCTTGGTCCCTGGGCATCAGTCATCCAAAAGACATGAGAGTGCCCACTATGTGCCAGGTCATTTAGGGCACTAGGGAGGCAGGGCCCTGGCCACATGGCACTGTCATGGCTGGCTACCCATGAAGGACAGAAGTGGTGGTAGAGACCAGTGCCATGCCCACCACCCAGTCAGCTGGGCCATCCCCTGAGAGGCAGCACAGCAAGAGATTTGGACTCAGACAGACCTGGGTGGCAGGGCTCAGAATCCTCAGTTTTAGTTTATTATTATTACTATATGGGCCCTGCCTTGTGGCTTGCAGAATCTTAGTTATTGGACCAAGAAGCAAACCTGGGCCCCAGCAGGGAGCGCACGGAGTCCGGCCACTGGTGCGCCTGTGTGTGTACTCAATCGTGTCCGACTCTGCGACCCCACGGACTGTAGCCCACCAGGTTCCTGTATCCATGAAATTTTCTAGGCAAGAATACGGGAGTAGGCTGTCATTTCCCACTCCAGGGGACCTTCTTGACCCACATCTCTTGCATCTCCTACACTGGCAGGAGGATTCTTCACCACTGAGCCAGCTGGGAAGCCCCCTAACCACTGGACCGCTAAGGAATTCCCAGTCTCCTCAGTTTTCATATGAGGCAAACAAGCCTCATTGGGTGACTTGAGGATGAAACAGGATGGCATGAATTTCCTGGCACCAAGTCCAGCACACAGTGGGTGCTAAGTACCTATTAAATCTCCCCTGACATCCCAGACCTGGGCGCTGCCCTGCCCTGGGACTGGCAGTCATCTCCAAGGACTGCACGGCTGCTCCCCAGACTCTGGACTCCTGTCCAGAGGCTTTGGCAGCTGCTGCCCTCTCGTGGGAAAGTGCAGGCATAGCCACCCCTGGGCTCCCCGGCCCTTGATATAACGGAAAAGAGGCCCAGTGGAACCAAGGTTTCTGGGGACTTGAAAGTACTTTCTCAAACTCCACCCGCCTCTATGCCCAAGACCCTCCCCCAAGTGTTGTTCTCCAGGAAAACCATTCCAGTGGCCAGGCCAGGTCCAGCAGGGGAGAGGGGTAACCCACAGCCAGCCTTGCCCTGTGCCTGGGGGCTGCCACCCCTCACCAGCCCGGGTATTTCCGTACAGTCAAAGTTACGGTTTTTCCAGGAGTCCTGTATGGACCTGAGAGTTGGACTACAAAGAAAGGTGAGTTCCAAAGAATTGATGCTTTTGAACTATGGTGTTGGAGAAGACTCTTGAGAGTCCCTTGGACTGCAAGGAGATCCAACCAGTCCATCCTAAAGGAAATCAGTCCTGAATATTCATTGGAAGGACTGATGTTGAAGCTGAAGCTCCAATACTTGGGCCACCTGATGCGAAGAACTGACTCATTGGAAAAGACCCTGATGCTGGGAAAGATTGAAGGCGGGAGGAGAAGGGGAGGACAGAGGATGAGATGGTTGGATGGCATCACTGACTCAATGGGGACATGAGTTTGAGTAAATTCTGGGAGGTGGTGATGGACAGGGAGGCCTGGGGTGCTGCAGTCCATGGGGTTGCAAAGAGTCAGACACGACTGGGCGACTGAACACCAACCAACCCACAGAAGAACCTCTCTGAATCCTCCTTACAGGTGAGGAAACTTGGGCCCCGCAGGCGAGGGTTCAGCGCTGCACCTTTCTCTGTGCTTACACAGGTAGCACCTGTCCCTAATGAATCTGCAGAGGTGGCCTTCCTTTCACAGCCTGCAGGCCCGTGAAAGAAACAGGGAGGGCTGAACTTGGTAGTTTAATGTTTCGCGATGACTGGAGACATATCAGAAAGCAGGTCAGATAAGAGGGAGGGTGGGATGTGGGGAGAGTGGGTACCCAGCCCGCCTCTGGCCTCCCTCGCATCTCCTCCCAGTGATGGGCCTGGAAGTGCTCCCGGGCTAGGCGACGCGGAGGCCCGGTTTCTTTCGGGGAGAGGAAAGAGAAGGAAAGACACCGCCGGATGGCAGGGGTGTGTGTGTGGAGCAGGAGCCCCGCACGCCTCCCTCCCTGACTCGCGAGCCAGCAGCGCCGCCGTGCGCCGGACCCCGCGCCCCCGTCCGCCCCGCCCCGGCGCCCAGGCCCGGCCCCGGCCCCGCCCGCGCCCGCGCCGCCGCGGCTCCGCGTCCGCGGCCACCCCGCCCGGAGCCGCCGCCATGGGCCGGACCCGGCCGGGCGAGCGCGGGCCTGCGGGCCCCGGCCCCGCCGCGCCGCCCGCGCCCCCGCCGCGCCGCGCCCGCGTCCTGGCGCTGCTCGGGGCGCTGCTCGCCGCCGCCGCGGCCGCCGCCGCCGCCCGGGCCTTTGCCCGCTATAGCGAGGCCCAGGCGGCCGCGAGGCAGGTCCGAGTCGCGGGGGAGGGAGCGGCGGCGGCCGTGGACGCTCGGGTGGGCCCGGGGCGGCGGGGCTCGCCGACGGGCAGGGCTCCGAGGGGCCGGGGGCCGGTGGGGGCCGGGGCGGATGAAAGGGCAGCCTGACCGGAGGGGGACGGGGCCGGAGGGCCGGGAGAGCGGCCAGGAAGGAAAACAGGGGGCTCCAGAGATCGGGCGGGCTAGGAAGGACTGATGCGGGGGAGAGCAGAGTGGCCCCGAGTGAGGCCGGGGCTGGGACAGGCTCCTAGGGGAGCGAGCGGATGGGTGACTAGGACAGTTCACCGCAGATAAAGCACTGAGCGAGGCTGGGACCCGAGCACCCGGGCGGGCGGGGCCGGGGGCGCTGGGACGGTGGGGAGGGGACACCAGGGAGGACGATGGGTGGACCAAAAGGGTGACTCTAGATGGCTCCGGATACAAAGCGGGCACTCGGAGAGTGGACAGTGGACGATGGAGTGTAGCAGGGACCGAGAGGGATGGGATCGGGGAGGCGGGGGAGATCCTGGGCTCTGGGGCTGCAGAAGTGGCATTTGGACAGATGTTTGGGAGATGGATGCGCTGAAAGAATTCAGGAAGGTGGTGGCCGGAGCGGTTAGGGACACCAGTTGGGTATCCGGTTGCTCAACCAAGCGCCTCCTCCCAAACAGGATTCAGCACTGAAAACCCTGGGGACAGAAGGCCTCTTCCTCTTCTCCTCCCTGGATGCTGACCGGGACATGTACATCAGCCCGGAAGAGTTCAAGCCCATCGCTGAGAAGCTGACAGGTACCCAGAGGAACTGGGGACCCGGGAGGAGGGACCTGGGGCACCGCCCTCTGGTTCTTGCTCTGTGTCTGCTCTGAGCAGGAGGACTGCCTGGAGTAGGAGGAGGCTGCCCTGGGCTTCAGAGATACTTTCTAGCTGGTGGTTTGGGCAAGCTGCCTCACCATGAGTACACACACAGACACACATGCGCGCACACATGCACGCATACACCCCCCCTCACCCCCCCCCCGAGCCTGTTCTCCTCACCGGTGAATATTACAAGCTACCATTCTCTGACCACTTTCTCAGGACCAGACATCACTTTAAGCACCTTCTGAGTTATCTCTTAGCAGAGCCTGTGAGATGGATGCTGACCTGATCCTCACGTGTATAGTTTGAGAGACTGGGGAGCAGGAAGGCTCTCCAGCCTGCCCAGGATGGAAAGGTGCAGGGCGAGGATTAGGGAGCTTCTGTCTTCAGGTCCTGCACCAGCTGATTTGAGGATTAGAGAAAACATCTGCAAAGTGCCCAGTATGCAGTAGATAGTCAATGGCATGGTATGTGTGCTCAGTTGTGTCCAACTCTTTGCGACCCCGTGGACTGTAGCCTGCCAGGTTCCTCTGTCCATGGAATTTTCCAGGCAAGCATACTGGAGTAGGTTACCATTTCCTACTCGAAGGGATCTTTCCGGCCCGGGGATTGAACTCAAGTCTCCTTCATCTCCTGCGTTGGCAGGCAGATTCTTTACCACTGTGCCACCTGGGAAGCCTGGATAATCAATAGACAGGAGCTATTGCTATACTACTAAATATTAAACTTTCCTGGGGAACTGTCAGATTCCTATCCTACTTTGTCACCCGTTTTTGCCTGGATGTAATTTGATTTCAATTGTAAAGATGAGCTAAAGCATTCTCATGAATTATAAAATGTCTCTCCCACCACTCCATCACCACCCTAACCTCTGTGTCCATATCTTGTGATGTTTCTTGAACTTCTGATCTTGGGCTTCTACTTGTTACCCAGATCGCCTGGTGTAAGTAGGTCAATAGATGGGAAAGACAGAAAGAGACACCAGCTGCTCTCAAGCAAGTAAGCACCCGAGGTCTGAGATGGGCTTTCTGTGTCTCAGGATTGGGTTGGGTAGGTCAGCCTAGTCCCGGCCTGGTGGCCTGCGGTCACTGTCGGAGAAGAGTCAGATGAAAAATGCTAATTTGGTGGAGCGGACGTGTCAGGGGCTCCCAGAGGCGGTCAGATTCTGTCCTGAAAGCAGACGGGCAAGTACACAGGTCAGTCCCGTGCGGGTTGCTTTGACTTGGTGTTTTGCATGCACTTCTCTGAGCAGCCACACAGCCACCTCCTTGTCCTTTTCTGCACCTAGAGAGCCAGAGTTCCCTCATAATGACATGTTGGCCAAGCTTGCTGGGCTTGGGGATGCTTTTAATTTTTTCACACAAATCTGTTTCTCCATCGGAGGAAAATAATCTCTCCCTCCATTACCTCCTAAGCCCCTGTGAGTACAAAACTGAACCAAGTTGTTGGGAGGACAAAAATTAAAACCAAAAAGAAACACCAAATCTAAGCAAGAAATAGAGGCAAACAGTCCTCGCTAGGTGGTACAGTTATATATGCCTAATTTTCTGCTTTGTATCTTAACATTTTTACAAATTGTCTATAGTGAACAAAGTTTACTTTTAAGTCAGGAAATACAACTTTTTATTTAAAAACCAAAGAGCCACAAATGCAGGGCATTATTATTCAGAATTATCTGTGATAACAGTAAAATGATTGGATAAGCAAGCCGACCAGTAACCCTACATATTCCTGTTGTTCAGTTCCTCTGAGGTTTCCAGATTGCTCTTTTGAAATTTTGTTGCCTTGACTTAGAAATGCAGAAGTAACTGGGATGCTTTAGAACAGGGGTTTCCATCAGAAGCCACTGGGGGTGGGGGGTGGGGTGCTAATCAAAAGTACATTTTCTCCAGGTTCTAGCCGCTGAAGACTGACTGAGTAGGTCTGACTCAGGGGGTTCTGGGCATCAGTAGTTTAAAAAGGCATCCTGGTGATTCCAATGATTCCTGGGTAAGCACTCCTTTGAATGTACCCATCCAGTCTGTCAGTCTGTCAACAAATGCCAAGCAATGGTCTCTACCCCTGAGAGAGCAGTCATGGCGAGACCCACCCATGCTTCATTCCGTTATCTGGGTCGTGGGGCCCCGCCCTGCTATTACTCACCCCCACTTAAGCCTTCATCCTGACTCCCTCCACCCTTGAAAGACTACAGACTTGGCAGGTCTCTGAGCAGGAAGAGATCCAAGGAATCAAATTCAGCTACTGTCAGTCCTGCCCCTCCTTATACCGATGGGGAAACGGGCCACCCAGGAAATCAGGGTAGAAGCAGGTCTCCTGTCTTCAGGACCAGCGCTCTTTCTGTGACACCAAAGACTGCCTGATTCCACGTTCCCTGACCTCCCTGAGCAGCCCTTGCTTCTCCATGAGCCCCCCATGACCGGACATGCATAGTAGCATGGGCTCCGTCTCTCGCGTAGGAGTCCGGGAAGGGCTGAGGGATTTGTCCCCCAAATGGTCCAGGAAATAGAGCTGACCTCACCCGAGATGGGCTCAGGGAAGGGGGCCAGCCTCGCCTGGTAGAAGGACACGTTAGGGTCAGAATTAGGTTTGGGCCCTGGCCCTGTGGATCCCCAACTCTGAAACCATTGGTAATAGTCATACAGCTGACGTTTATTACGGTTTACTCTGTACCAGGCCTGGTGCTAACACCACGTGGATTACCTCATTTAATCCTCATAACAGGCCCCTGGGCCAACCACCATGCATCTGGTGGGGGGTGGGGCTGCTACTTGAACCCAGGTCATCTGGTTCCTGAACCTTTGAGGAAACTTTGGAGATCTTAATGTCCCCAGAAGAGAGTTGTGGTTGATTGTAGGTTTAGGGTAAAAGAGGCCCATGTTTTAATCCTGATTCATTCTAGCTGTGTGTCCTTGGGGAAGTGACTTCAACTCTCTGAGCCTCCAATTTCTCATTTGTAAAATGGGATTGATAATACTGCCTCACAGGACTACTGTGAAACTAACACGTGAATATATATAGGAGAAATTGTATATGCAGGATATACTAGGTTGTATACATTATATATACACTTTGTATATCATATTGGGTTGGCCCAAAAGTTCGTTTGGGTTTTCCTGCAAGATGTTATGGGAGAACCCAAATAACTTTTGAGCTAGCCCAATACATATACAATTTATTTGTATATGTTTGATAAACGATGTAATCTATATTGTTACTTTGGTGATTGTTACCTGTTAAAGCCTCCCACCCCCATCCCTCCCAAGCCTGGCTCCCTTAATCACTGGCCCATGCGGACATCCTAGGAAGTAAGGCCCTGCCATCTGAGGCAGGACCCCTCTCCAGCGACCTGTGTCTCGTAGGGTCGACTCCTACGGCCAGCTACGAGGAGGAGGAGCTGCCCCCTGACCCCAGCGAGGAGACTCTCACCATAGAAGCCCGATTCCAGCCCCTGCTCCCAGAGTCCATGACCAAGAGCAAAGATGGGTTCCTAGGGGTAAGTTGGGGCGGGAGAGGGAGGGGGCTTTGCAGAGGCAGGACCAGAGACGGGGGGCCATCTGTGTGTCCTCGCCTCCGGAGAATGGCCTGTCTGTGCTCATCTCTCCTTCCTTCCCTTATCCAGCGCCCTCTGTGCACCCAGCGTGCCAGGCCCTGACCCCACTGCCCAGGCCCTCGGTCTGGTAGGGGAGCTGGGAGGGATAAGCATGAGCCTGTGACCCAGAGGGCTCCCTAGAGGGAATGACATTGACAGCAACTGCAGGGGAGGAGGGCTCAGGCCGGTGTCAACAGGGGAGGGAGGATCCGGCTGGAGGAAACAGCCGGTATGCTAGAGACCATGCTGATGCAGCCACCTTGCTTATAATCATTACTTTCTACAGGTCAGTCTTCCACTCCAAGGCTGCGATTTCCTCAGGGCAAGGCCTGTGATGCACATCTGTGCATCCCCAGGCCCCTAGCACAGCACCTGGCATCTGACAGGTGCTCTCTTGAGCTCCAACGAGCTGGACCTGAAGTTTAGTCCCTGGCAGGGGCTCTGGGGTGGGGAATGACCCTGACAAGGGCCATCCTAACCAGCCCCACCCAGACCCAAGGCCCTGTGGACACGGTCTCAAGCCCTCCCAGGATCTGGCATCCCCAGGCCCTGCTGCCTTTCTGCTCACTCCCCTGCCCTCTCCTCTCAGCTGTCCATGACTCCAGATATCCAGACTTCCCTCCACCTGTGAGCCAGCTCACATGCTGGTTCCTCGGCCAAGAACACCTTTACTCTTTGCCTCGCCCACACCTACTCAGCCTTTGTGTCTCAGCTGAACCATCACTTCAGCACCAACAAAGGCCTGAAGGCAGGAGATACCTGGCAGGACCCCAGGGGCAGAAAGAGGGGGTGGCTGAACCCTGGGCACAGGGGACACATACAGGGGCATCCCCATCAGTGGGACCGAAAGAGAAGTTGCCTGATGGCCCAGGGGCTCAGCTGCCTGACTTTGGCCTTCATCCTGCAGCAGCCAAATAGCATAGTGTGTTTTGAAATAGGAGACATCCTTCATCAGATCTAGGCTTTCCAGGCTGACAGCTGGGGAGAAATGGGAGGGAAGGCCAGTTCCCAGGAGGGATGGGAAGACAGGAAGGGGGAAGGGGAGGCCTTGGTGATGGAAAAGAAGGACAGCCTGGGGGATGCAGGGGAGGGAAGAAAGGCAGGGCCTGGCTACTAAAGGAAGGGGGTGGAGAGGGGTGGTTGGGGTATCTCAGGTTTCTAGCTGGTGGTCAGGTGCATGGGGGAACCCATCGCTTGATGGGGGCTGGAGGAGGGGCGCGGGTCTGGTAGGGAAGGTATGGGGTCAGTTTGGACTGCTGGAGTTGAGGTCCCTGAGGATGTCCAGGGGGAGAGTCCAGTAAGGTCTGGGTGGAGGAGATTCGCCAGTGATGGGCTGGAGTCGTGTCTGAGCGTGAGTCCCTCCCACCGAGCGGAGAGAACAGGTGCAGGGGCCCACCTGCGCTGATAGGGGAGGTAGGGTCTGGAAAAGCACCCCAGCCCTGCCTCCCTAGCTCAGGCCCTCCTTATGAGCCGCTCCCCAAGAGCGCCGCAGCCTGTGAACAGGACCAGCAGGCAGACAGGCTCCGCCGGGCCCCGCTCAGCCAGCCCTGCTTTGAGAAGCTGCCTGTGAGCTGCTTTGAGAACTCCCCTCCGCCCGCCTCAGCTCGTGCATAAGCCTTCAGACCAACTCCGGGTGCCCCTGCCCCGCCCTGGGCTTCCTCACCCTCTCTGCCTGCCCTGTTCTCTGCTCCCCAAGTCCCCCCTCTCCAAGTCTCACTGAGCCCAGATCCGCTCACCAGGGAGGTGGAGGAGGGGACTGGCTACCGTCAAAGGTGGGACAGCTCCCTGGCGGCTGAGGACCCCTGCGTGGGGCCAGGCACCCACTGTTGTGGCGGCTGCCACTGGTGACCGGTAAGGGCAGGGAAGAGCCACTGAAGGTGGGGCTCTGAGCAGGGGACCCGTGTGGTCCAGGGCCGCCTCCAGCTCTAGGCCTGCACAGGGTCTGACCCGCCTCCTCCTGCCCGGGGTGCCCAGCCAGCATGGCCCAGGCCACGCCTGAAGCAGGGGTGCCCTTCCTCCCCCTCCTCTGTGGTCTCATCCTGCCCTTGACCCTAGAGATTTCACCCAAAGGTGGCTGCTGCTCCCTCCACAGACTCCTGAATTCTTGTCACCCAGGACGTTGGCTGCAGGGAGGAGACTTGGAGGGGGAGCTTAGAGAGCAGAAAGCAGGGCAGGTGGAGGGGGTGAGGAAGCCCAGGGCGGGGCATGGGCACCCGGGGTTGGTCTGCTGGCTTATGCACAAGAGGGAAGTGGGACCTGGACTTTGAGAGCGGGAAGAGGTGGTTCCAGTCCTAGGCGACCCCTCCTGCTGCCTCGATTCCCATGTCCTCACAAGAGGTGTCTGGCCTGGGCTGGACCCGAGGGGCCCCAGGGACACCACTTCTCAGGCTGGGAGCTGGGGAGGCAAAGTGAGCCTCAGCTCTGGCAGGACGGTACCAGCCACGCTCACCCCGTCCTGACCAGAGCAGGCGCCTCCCAGGGCCTCTGTTTCCCGGGTTTGTGGGTTGGCTCAGGGCTCGAGGAGACCTCCAGGCAGCCTGGGAGGTTCTCAGTGCCCCGGAGCGCTGACGGTCCCCCTGCCCCAGGTCTCCCGCCTAGCCCTGTCCGGCCTCCGCAACTGGACGACGGCAGCCTTGCCGAGCGCTGTGTTTGCCGCCCGCCACTTCCGGCCCTTCCTTCCGCCCCGGGGCCACGTGGAGCTGGGTGAGCCCTGGTGGATCATCCCCAGTGAGCTGAGTGTCTTCACCGGCTACCTGTCCAACAACCGCTTCTACCCACCGCCGCCCAAGGGCAAGGAGGTGAGGACAGCCCCGGGGCCATATGCCCCAGCTCTGCACCTGGACCCCAAGGCCACCGGCCTAACCCCCCTGCGCTCCTGCCTCCGTCTGACCCCACCCCTGGTCCAGGGCCAACACCCACCCAGGGGAGTCGGGCCCTGCAAGCCAACCCTGGGTCCCACTGCCCCCTCCACAGGTCATCATCCATCGGCTCCTGAGCATGTTCCACCCGCGGCCCTTCGTGAAGACCCGCTTTGCCCCTCAGGGGGCCGTGGCCTGCCTGACCGCCATCAGCGACTTCTATTACACCGTGATGTTCCGGTGAGGGGTCCTGGCAGCCCCGTCCCTGCTTTCCCTGGGCCTGGGATTCCAGGGCAGCACGGAAGGGTACAGCCGCGGGAGCCAGGGCCTGACGCCCGCACCACCATCACCACAGCTTACCGCCCTGCGGGCCTGGCCAAGCAGCTTTGCTCTCTGAGCCTCACGTTCCTCCTTGCGCACCAGGGAGGTGGTGACCTCCTCCAAGAGGAAGGAAAAAGGTGCTGAGTGTGCTTTAGCACAGGGCTGATGGCCGTTGACTGTCATCCACGTGGAAGGGGGTGCATAAGAGCTGTGACACCAGGTCACACAGCCCCTGGAGAGGCTGTGAGAGCTCAGAGGAGGGTCAGCTAGGCTTCCAGGGAAGGCAGCATGGAAACCGGGCCCTGAAGGGTAGGGCAGCGCCTTGAGGGCCTCCCTTCTCCCTGCCCCACACACTCCTCTGCCCCCGCCCAGCCCTCTGCCCCACCCAGAGTCTGGCCGGCCCTGTGTGGGTTCCAGGCTTTGGGGCAGAAGGGGGCGGGCAGGCAAGCTCTGCTCGGCCAGGGGACCCCCTCCCAGCCGGGCCCTTTCCCTCCAGCATCCACGCCGAGTTCCAGCTCAGCGAGCCCCCCGACTTCCCCTTCTGGTTCTCCCCCGGCCAGTTCACCGGCCACGTCATCCTCTCCAAAGACGCCACCCACGTCCGCGACTTCCGGCTCTTCGTGCCCAACCACAGGTGAGAGCCTCCATCCCACCCCAGCGTCCTGCTCCCGTGTGCCCCCCACCAGCTCCCAGAGCTCAGCCCCCCTCAGTCTCTCCCCAGAGCCCCTTCTCTTGGGAGGCACCTGGCGCTGACCTCGGAGGAGGCAGCATGAGGTGGTCTATGGGCAGGGAGGTGGTCATTCCGTCATCCCAGGCAGTGCCTGGGACACGCTTATGGGATGATGGAGTGACCAGCCAGCTCTGCACTGGGACCCAAGGCAGCAACCCGCAGCCCCTCCCTGAAGCTGGAGCACCCCCCTGCTCAACGTGCTGACAGACCCGTGACCACCCCTTGCCCTGGCACCCTAGGGAAAGGCTGGCAGGTGGGCAGGGACCTTCCCAAAGGAAGTGACATCTGCTCAGTGACCTGGGGGCTGAGGAGAGTTTAGCTGAGCAGAAGGAATAGCACATGCAGAGACCTAAGGGGCAGACCCTCCATGCCTGCAGTTGCTAACCCAGACCCTGGGTGGGGGCTGGGGGAGGCTTCTGGAAGGGCTCGATGCCAGCCACCTGCCTGCCTGCCTGCCTGCCCAGGGTCAGCCTCTTGTCGGGAAGAGGAGATGCAGAGCCTTTCCAGCTTTGTCCCAGATAGCAAGCAGCCGCTCCGGGGGGCCTGAATGACTCTTTACCAGGACTGTACCCAGGCTGGGAGCCGAGTGGCCCAGAGCTAAGTCTCAGCTGTGGCATCAGTGGCTGTGGGCAAGGCCCTGGCTCCCTCCAGGCCTCAGTTTCCTCATCTGCTAGATGGGTGGCTGGGTCGGCAGGAGTGAAAGGGTTGCCAGGACAGCCTGGAAGAGAACCCAGGACCAGAAGCGACCTGCCACCCTCGTTCAGGGTTACCGAGGGCAACGAGGGGCCCAGGGGCTCCAGCTCCGTGGGAAAAGGATGAGGAAGGACAAGCCCTCATCCTCTCCCTTGCTCAGCAGGCACGTCCCTGTGCTGCGGGGGCTCAGCCCAGGGCACGTCTGCCCCCAGCCCAGGGGTGGAGGTGGGGGCCTGGATTGGATGAAACAGAAGGAGCAGGGGGCAACCACTCCAGGGATGGCCCTGCCATCCCAGGCCTATTGCTTGCTCTGAGCTCACCCTGCCTGCTTCACCCGCCCAAGGTGGCTGGTAGCCTGTCCTGCGGCGCCCTCATGTGGTAGATCTGCAGGTTGCACATGATCAGGCCAGACTTCCCACTGGAGACAGTGGAGGAGGCCTGCAGCGAGAAGACAGTACCCATTTTTTAATCCTGCCCCCCTCGAGGTGCTGAGCGAGGCACTGATGGCCGCAGCCTCTAATAATCATGGGTCATGGGCAGTGCGTGAGCCATGGATGTGGAAGCCCTTTGTAAACTGTAAAGGCCTGGGTCGGTGGAGGGTGGTGTGGTCCTAGTGCCTTTAGAAGAGGCAGCCTGGGGAGAGAAAAGGTCCCAGGCTCTGCCGTCAGCATCCCAGTGGCCCTGAGACCTTGGGTTCAACCTGCTGAGTCTCAGCGTCCTCATCTATAAAATGGGGCCAGTGGCGGGCTTTCGGTGAGATAAAGTCTGGTGTCTGACGGGCTTTGATGATGGTGTTGTGCCCTGGCGCCCTCTCCCCTGTCCCCAGGTCTCTGAATGTGGACATGGAGTGGCTGTACGGGGCCAGCGAGGGCAGCAACATGGAGGTGGACATCGGCTACATACCCCAGGTGGGCGCACAGGCGGTCCTCTTACGTGGTTAGTCCTAGTCGTGTCCGATTCTTTGCGACCCCATGGACTATAGCCCACTGGGCTCCTCTGTCCATGGGATTTCCCAGGCATGAATAGTGGAGTGGGTTGCCATTTCCTCTTCCAGGAGATCTACTAGACCCAGGAATCGAACCTGGGTCTCCTGCATCTCCTGCATTGGCAGGAGGGTTCTTTACCACTGAGCCACCTGGGAAGCCCCCGGTCAGAAGGCGGGCCTTGGCGGCAGGGCCCTGCCTCAGGGTCTCTCAGCCTGGCTGCAGGGGGACCCAGCTGGCTAGGGAATGACAGAGCTCCTGGCAGGCAAAGCGGGATCCTGGGAAGACACGCATTCCTGCACGCAGAGTCCAGCATCTGCCGTGGGCCCTCCGCTGGCTTCCCGCGGTGGAGCCCTGGCTGGACAGTGGGCTCTGTCCCGGACTCACTGCACAGCCTTGACCGGGCCTGCCCCGCCCTGGGCCTGACTCCCCCCCTCTGCGATGAGTGGCGCATCTCTGAGGGTCTCTCGGGGCCCCTGGCGGACTCTTGCCCCTCACTGAGACATCCCTCGCTGACCCCTGGCCCAGATGGAGCTGGAGGCACTGGGGCCCTCGGTGCCCTCCGTGATCCTGGACGAGGATGGCAACCTGATCGACAGCCGCCTGCCCTCAGGGGAGCCCCTCCAGTTTGTGTTTGAGGAGATCCAGTGGCAGCAGGAGCTGAGCTGGGAGGAAGCCGCCCGGCGCCTGGAGGTGGCCATGTACCCCTTCAAGAAGGTGAGGCGGGGCAGCGGGCACAGGCAGGGACGGGATGAGAGCTGAGGAGCAGCAGGTGGGCACTGGGCACCATGCAGGGCTTGGGGCTGCGGCTGCCTCCCTGTGGGGCTCCGCCTGGGCTGGGGAGCCTCCCCTTTGTCCTTCAGAACTTGGAGGAGCCATCCCTTGGCTTAGCATCACACACATGCAACAAACATACATGCATATGTACACACATATCCACACGTGTGCATACATACACACACACCTATATCCACTACAAACACACACACCTACATGCACATCATACGCTCAGCCCCTGCAGTGGGACCCTGGCCGCACACAATAGCTTCTCTCTGTCCCGACTTGGCCCCAGGTCACCTACCTGCCGTTCACCGAGGCCTTTGAGCAAGCCAAGGCCAAGAACAAGCTGGTGCACTCAATCCTGCTGTGGGGGGCCCTGGACGACCAGTCCTGCTGAGGTGAGGAGACCCCGGCAGTCCGAAGGGAGAGTGGGGGGAGGCGTCACTCCTCGCGGGTGCAGGAGGCTCTGAGGCCACAGGACTCCGCTACCCGAGCATGAGGTTGCTTGAGGACAGCGTGGGGCGGGGAGGCGGGGTGAGGCGCTGGGCTGCTGCGCTGAGCTCCGAGGGCGCTGCTGGAGTCCGGAGGAGGAGCCCAGCTCTGCCGCCTTCAGCCAGGAGACTTCGGCCGGGTGATTTTCCTTGCTCGACCTCAGTTTTCTCAGCAGTAAGAGGATAACATACTTACCTCCCACCGTTGTGAACACAGATGTGAAAGTGCCCATGCTCTGGGAAGTGTTGCACACAAGTGAGAGGAAAGACAGTGCCAAAGCCTGGACACTTTTCACTTAATCAGAAAATACACCAAAGACCCCCGGTGCAAAGTTCTCTGGGTGCCTGACGACGGGTACAAAGAGGAGCACACATGCCCCTGCCCTCGTCCAGCCAGCCGAGAAACATCCTGGATACCTCCTGTGCCTAGCTGTAGGCTAGATGCTGGGCGTCCTGCACTGAGGAAGTCGGAAGCGGTCCCTGGACTCGGAGCACACAGTGTGAGCAGAAGGCAGACGCTGCAAGTGTGGCAGGTTTACACAAGGCAAGGTCCAGAGTGGCACACGAGTGTGCAACTGGGGGGTCAGGGAAGGCTTATTTGAAAGAGTGACACAAGCTGAGACTCTGAAAGATGATTAAGAGTTTGTCAGGTGACAGGAGGAAGTGTTTTAGATAAATAGAAAGATAGTCTGCACAAAGGCCCTGGGGCAGCATTGAGTGGATTTAAGAAGCTGTCAGTGTCTGCAAGCCCCTGGGCCAGGTGGGGCCCAACACGTCTCAGCCCAGGATGCCAGTATGTTACTGATGTTAATTACAGCTACCAGATATTCAGTACGTCTTCTGTGGCACTGTTTGAATCACTGTTATTTCACCTGGGTGCACAGAGTATTCTGTAGTCCTTGAGGTTTCCTGCTGATTGAAAACCCAGTGAGACATGTGGGGTGCCTGACCTTGCTTCTCCCCGAACAGGTTCGGGGCGGACTCTCCGGGAGACCGTCCTGGAAAGTTCGCCCATCCTCGCCCTCCTCAACGAGAGCTTCATCAGCACCTGGTCCCTGGTGAAGGAGCTGGAGGACCTGCAGGTGAGCGGCAGGTGGGTGGGAAGAGCGCCACGGGAGCCCCTGGGACAGTGGAGCCCAGGCGGTAGGAGCATGCCCAACTGTCCCCGCAGAACAACCAGGAGAACCCATCCCACCGGCAGCTGGCTGGCCTGCACCTGGAGAAGTACAGCTTCCCCGTGGAGATGATGATCTGCCTGCCCAACGGCACTGTGGTAGGCCCCCGCCACCCGGCCTCAGCCTCAGGCAGGGGAAGCAGCGGCCAGGGCCGTGACTTACAGACCTCATCATCCCCGTCTGGCTCTGCCACCCCCTGTCCGAGCCTCAGTTATCCCCGGGTGTCCCCTCGGCCTGCCTGTGCAGGTGTCGGGACCTTCCCTCAGAACGGGGACCTCAGCAGCACTCTGGGGCACAGTGGGCGGCGGCAGGCACAGTCTAACAGCAGAGTGGACAGGAATGGGACCCAGAAGGGAAGTCTCACCTCAGACCATTGCAGCCAGCCCTGGGGTGGAAGGGATGGGGGGTGGCAGGTGGCAGGCCTTGTGACAGCAGAAAGGACCTGATGCCACCCCAGGCCGAGGCAGGACCCCCACTGTCCCTAAGCGCCCCTGACACAGCACTCACTCACATCCTCGAGTGGGATTGCACTGAAGCTTTGCGAGATTGATGATCATAAATGCTGATTTTTACAAGCTGCGGCTCAGAAAGGTTCAGAGGCGTGGCAAAAGCTGCACAAGGAAGCATCGCTGGCTCTGAAAACAGGCGCACACCTGTGAGCCTCAGCATCGCTTGCTCTTCTGAGCAAAGCTACTCCTTCTTCTTTCAGTCCTGGGGGGTGGGCAGGGTGGGAGCTCAGCAGGTGGGGAGCAGCGCAGGGGCGAGAGCTGGGTTGGCCCCGAGCATCAGTCCCTCAGTCGTGTCCGACTCTGCGACCCCAAGGACAGTAGCCCTTGCCAGGCTCCTCCGGGCAGGGAGTGGCTTTCCACTCCCTTCTCCAGGGGATCGTCCCAACCCAGGGATCAGACGGGGTCTTCTGCATTGTAGGCAGATTCTTTACCAGCTAAGCCATCAGGGAAGCTTCTGTCTCAGGCTCAGGGAAGGGAAGGCCTTGGGGTACCAGCCAGCTCACACCGGTCCACGGACGACCCCCTTGGTGGACCCAGCCAGCAGGGCCCCGGGTGGCGGAGCTGGGCAGACAGGACTCTGCCTGGGCTGTGGGTGCCCTGCACTCTCCCGTTCGTTTACTGGGCACCTGCCCTTAAGGTGCTCACGAGCTGGAGTGGGAGGCTGATGGGGACACAGGCCTGGGCATGCAGGTATTTTGACAGAAGTGAGTATGGATTTCAGGGGTTATGGGATCAGAGACGAGAGGGTCAAGGGCACAGGGTGGGGGCTGGTGAGGAAAGGTGATATTGAAAGGCCTTAGGTCTCACCTGGTGGGCGAGGTGTGGAGCCCAGAAGGCAGAGAGGCCTGTGAGTGGAGGAGGAGGGGGAACAGGTTCCGGCAGCACTCACGGCTGCCCGGCCTGCCCATCATCTGCCCAGACGAGGAATGTCGAGGCCAAAGGGGGCACCAGTCCCCCCACCCCCGCTCTCCTCACCCAGCTCTTCTCCCAGGTCCACCACATCAACGCCAACTACTTCTTGGACATCACCTCCATGAAGCCCGAGGACATTGAGAACCACGTCTTCAGCTTCTCGTCCACCTTTGAAGACCCGTCCACGGTCACCTACATGCAGTTCCTGAAGGAGGGCCTCCGGCGCGGCCTGCCCCTCCTCCAGCCCTAGTGAGCCTGCCTGCCGGTGAGACAGCAGCTGGACAGGGAGCTGGACAGGCCTCTCCTCCGGGGAGTTCCAGAGCAGCCTTCCCATGTGTCACGCACCAAGCCCTCCCGCTCCACCTCTCAGGCTGCCCATGGGGACCGAGGTCAGCTAATGGCCATCCGAGCTTTGCCTAGGAGGTGGGTGGACAGGGGGTCCTAGGCCGACCTTGAGCGCTGGCTGCCACCACCAGTCTTTAACTACATTCCTGGCTCTGGAAGCTGCTTGGGACCCCGAAAGAGATGGCCTGCGGTCATCTCCCTGGACCTCTGCCACTCAGGCACATAGTCCCAGCTCTTGCAGGGTGAACAGTAAGGAAAAATGGGTGCTAGAAAGACAGGGCCACCCCCTCCCCTACCTTCACCCCTTCCAAAAGAGACATCAAGAAGCCTTGGCCTGGGGTCAGGGGAGGCTGCCACGGAAGCACTCCTGTTTGTCTGGAACCTTCTTCCAGGCCAGAGGCCTGCCTGGCTGCCCTCCTGCGCCTGGTGTCCGCCCCCCGCCCCCCAGGTGACGTCAGCCTTCCAGAAGCTCTGGGCAGAACCCTCCTTCAGAAGGGGAAATCATACTGTACCCTTGCTGTTCTCCAGAACACTCAATCCAATCTGACGGAAAGACCCCAGAACCTATTTCAGGACTTCCTGGAGGCCTGCTCTCTGGGAGGTTTTCTGTGAAGGAAGCTTCTGCCCTTGACAAGGAGCCCACTGAGGCCAAGGGCCTCAGCTTCCCCTCCGGCCTACCCCAGCATGGGTCACAGCGAGACACACGGAGCCAGTGTCTCCTTAACACCCCCCCACCCCAGACCTCAGCTCCACAGAAACATCACCCAAAGAATGCAGCCTCCCCCAGAGCAGGCACTGTCCCAGCTGTCAGGCAGCCCAGACCAGGTTGTCTCCCACTGGGTGGCCACTAACTCCCCTTGGCCGCTCTGAGTCCACATCCCGAGCCACTGACCACGGCCAGTCTTTTTGTTTTCTTTTTTTATACATGCAGAAAGCGTTTTTATGTGAACTTTCTCACAGTTTATATGTATTTTTGATAGCCCCTGCCCTGAGGAGAAAGAAGAGGGCGATGGTTTTCCCCCAGCAGCCGCCCCATGATGGCTGGATCTGAAAGCTTAGGTGGATCCAGCTTGATGTCTTTGCAGTTGCTGCTGTGGGAAGAAACATCCCCTCTCTTCCTTCTTCTTGACCAACTTTTAAAAAATAGCCCCCAGGGGGTCCGTATACCCCCCAACGGTATCCTTATCCTCCACTCGGGCCCATGAGGAGCCCTGGGGCTTTCATGAAGGCCCCTCCCCACCCCTACATATGCCCCGCCCCCGCCCCACTGGGGTTGGGGGGCTCCCTCTTCAGCCTGAAAGGGGAAGGAAGGCAAACATCTCCTCAGATGCACTCCCCGGCCTCCCACCTGCTGAGTTCCCCTGCCCACTAGAGTTTCCACACTGAGCCTTCCTCACGGTCTTGTTCTCGATGTTGTATCACGCATCACGATAACAGCTAGTTACTGAGAGCTTTCTATCTAAGGCACTCTGTTAAGATGACTTGTATTTTCTCATTTGCTCCTCACAACAAAGGACACAAGGCGGATAGTCATCATTCCCATTTTATAGATGAAGGAGCCGAGTCTCAGGAAAGTGAAGTGACTTGCCCAAGGTGACTCAGTGGTAGAGTTGACATTTAGCCTGTGTCTTGATGTTGGGAGTGTTTTGTCTTGTCCCTCCCACCTCTCTCCCCTGCCTGTTTTCACTGAGGTGAAAAAGAAAGCCTTTCAAACCAAAACATCAGGTTCCCCTGTCTTCTCTAGAGCAAATGGGGCATGATCCGGCAAGCGTGGCCGGGTTCTTTGTGTCCCTCCTGGGAGCCAGTGCTTTCACGCTGCTTACAGGGAGGGAGGGCACTAAACATGTCTCAGTGCTTCCAGGCATGGGTGGCAGTAGCCCGTCCCACTAGCCACCTGGAGTCAGCACTCAGCCCTCCCACCCAGCAGGCTCTCACCCCTCATGCTGGGCTAAGAAGGCCAGCGCCATGATGAGGGATCCTTGTCCCATGGAAAGTGATGCTTGCACTTCCTGCATCCTCTCCTGATGCCTCTGCCTGACCCCCTACTGTGCTCAAAGGCTCATGGTGGGGGAGGCTCGCAGCTGCCCTCGTCACCCTCCTCCACTTCCCTCCTCTGTCCCCAGTGTGTCCTATAATAAAATTGAAGAGATTAGGGTGGTTCTAAGTGCCTTTCCTTTGAGTGGGATGTTGTTCTCTTCTCCATCTCACTCCTCTGCTGGAGAACTGATACTTTTGAATTGAGAGGCCCTTGGACTGCAAGATCAACTCACTCAACCCTAAAGGAAACCAACCCTGAATATTCATTGGAAGGACTGATACTGAAGGTGAAGCTTCAATACTTTGGCAACCTGATGCAAAGAATGGACTCATTGGAAAAGACCCTGATGCTGGGAAAGATTGAAGGCAAAAAAAGGGGACGGCAGAGGATGAGATAGCATCACTGACTCAATGGACATGAATCACTAGAAAGACAGAGGAGGCTGGCGTGCTATAGTCCGTGGGGTTGCAAAGAGCCAAATTGGTGACTGAACAACAACTTTTGCTAGAGTTGGCAGATGGGCAAGGGAGCATGACTGGAATGCCTTTGGGGACTAGTTTATTCGTCACCAGAAGGCTCGAGTAACTTGCTTAAAATAAATTTGCGATAGACCTAGAGAACTTACTGTTTTTAGAATCTGGTGTTCGTTGTTGAGAAAGATTCTGAAGTTAAATCCATCATCTTAGAAGCAGAGCCTGAGATAAGCATTGCTGCTGCTAAGTCACGTCAGTCGTGTCCGACTCTGGGCGACCCCATAGATGTCAGCCCACCAGGCTCCCCCGTCCCTGGGATTCTCCAGGCAAGAACACTGGAGTGGGTTGCCATTTCCTTCTCCAATGCATGAAAGTGAAAAGTGAGTGAAGTCGCTCAGTCGTGTCCGACACTTAGCGAATCCATGGACCGCAGCCTACCAGGCTCCTTCATCCATGGGATTTTCCAGGCAAGAGTACTGGAGTGGGGTGCCATTGCCTTCTCTAGAGATAAGCATTAGGTAATTTTTTTTTTTTTGAGGGTGTGAACTTAAGGAAAAACCTGTAAAAGAAGGATTGAAGAAGAAAGGGGGAAAGAAAGACCCTTGTGCAGGAATAGAATCTGAAAGCCAAACCTTGATCAGATTGCAGGAGCGAGGCTCTAGAGCATAAACCATACCGCCAGATTGAACTGGCCTCTTGTATCTTGAACTGGCTCTTAGAAGTAGAGTAACTTTTTTGGTTAGAGCTTCCATTCTGAGAATGGGGCAGCTGTGAGCAGCCAGCACAGCTGCTGGGGGATAGAGTCATGTGCTAGGTAAAAGGGTCTTCGGGAAAAACAAAAACTGCACTACCACATCCAAAGAAAGGCAACTAGAGTGGATTCATAAGATCTGCCATTGCCCAGGATGGGAAAGCGATGATTAAAGCAACAATTTGTCATCCTGGAAAGAAGGCTGTATCTGGAAGTCAAATTTCATCATTTGCAGTATGGCGGGAATCAGGGAGGATACAGTCTCTGACTAGGACCAGCTACATAGTTTGCAGGGTCCAGTGCAAAATGAAAATGCAGGGCCCTTGTTGAAAAAAAGTATTTGTTAATTTAAAGAGAGCAACAATAGGGCATTAAAGCAAGAAGGAGTTTGTCTGACCACCAGGCCTGTGTGACAGCACAGATTCTCCCCACCATGAAGCCCATCTGTCCCTGACAGCTAGGACTTTCAAGCTTTGAGACGAAAGAACAGCCTGGGAGCCAGGCATAGTCACTTACTGAAGTCAGAGGAGAACATGTGACCCAGGCCTGGATGCCATGGTGACCAGGAATCTGGGGTGTTGAGCACAAAAACAGAGTGGGTGAGTGAGCCTGGGAGGAATGTGGATCTCTTTTGCAAGGCCTCTGGGGTCTCGCTTCTCAGTCTACCCATCTGACCAACCAACTCAATATACCGGAGTGGGTAGGAGTGTGTGATACCAATGGCTAAAATAGAAGAAAGCTACAAAGCACTGGAGGGCAAGAGTCAAGAGGAGAAAGAGGCTCATTCTTGGTGCAGAGAAGACTGTAGAGGGTCTTGGCTGGGAAGCATAAACTGAAGGAATCAGAGGGAGGTGGGAGGGGGGTTCACGATGGGGGACACATGTACACCCATGGCTGATTCATGTGAATGTATGGCGAAAACCACTACAATATTGTAAAGTAACTAGCCTCCAATTAAAATAAATTAATTACCAAAAAAATAATAAACTGAAGGAACCAGAGTGAGATGAAGGGGGGCAAGCACTAAGTCTGGAGCCTTGAACACCAGCGCGAAGCTTCTGAAGTTTGTAGTCGAGGTGGGGACAGCAGACACCGATCAATCTGGAGGCCGAATAGCAACACAGATGCCTCCCAAAGGTTGGATCGGGACTAAGCGTGGAGACTGGGAAAGAGCCGGCTGACCTCAGAGGTTTCCCGGCGCCATCAACTTTTCCCCAGGAGGGGGCGTGGCCTATAGTAGGCGTATCCCCTCTACCGCCCCGCCTCGGCGCCTCTCTCGCAGGATCCTCTCTCGCCTCGCCCCACGCAGGGCCGCTTCCGGAAGACGCGTGCTGCCGCGGCTCGGTGCGCAGCTGCAAGAGATCGCTTCCGGTGGGTGGGTCAGCGGAAGTGAGGGAGAGGGAGGCTGGGCGGCCCGCTGTGGTAGGAGGGGCCGTGAGGTGAGTGAATCCGGAGCCGCAGTCTGAGGTGAGAGTAGGTCCGACTGCCGCCCCGAGGCGGGAACGCGAGCGGGAGCGCGGCCCTCCGGCCCGGCCTGTCGGGAGGCCGAGTGCCGGGCGCCGGGCGCTGCCCGCGGCTACTGGGCCCGCGCCGGTTCTCGCGGGAACTCGTGTTGTCCGCCACACTTGGCTGAGGGGAAACTGAGTCCCCGGGGGGCAGTTGCTCGCCCGAGTCACCCAGCCGCACCAGAGGCTTCTCGTTTCGGCCGCCTCCTCGCTTCCTCCGGGACCCGGCGCCGGGCCTTTGAATCCATGGGCGCCCCCCCACACCGAGCCGCGGCGAGAACTTGGCCGACCTTGACCCCGTCGGGTCGGGCTGTTGCAGGGGGAGGGGAGGCGTGTCCTGGATAAAGGTCCCCGCGGCGTCTCCCCCTCCCCCGGCCCAGAACGGCGCAGAGCGCGGCGGCCTCGGCGGGGACCGGGTTGATGCTGCCAGGCCCCGCTCGAGAGGCGCTGGGGGACCGTGTGTAAAAAACACGGGGACAGCAGCCCCGGAAAGGGCAGTCGGGCTCGGAGGTGGTGGGAACCAGGCGCGCGGCCACCGAGCCGTGGGGAATCTTCTAGGTAGACACTTGTGCAGGGTTCAAGGCTGAGTCGGCGTTCTTGTTGGTTCGTTTCTTAACAAATGCTCGAGTGCCAGCCGGGTACGGGGCGGGCTCGGGGCTGTACCTGGAAGTACCCGCCCTCCGGACAAACTGCACAAGCTACACCCGTTATCTAGTTACTGCTGCTCCGGAGGAAACGCGGGGCGCCGGTCCGAAAAGGGGAGGCAGTGCTTCAGCTGAGCTCCAGGAGTAATTGAGGATGAGCTTGGTGAAGAGGCTGGTAGGGTTTTGAGCAGAGGGAATATAGTAGACAAGGCCAGTGTGGGTGGAGGGCAGGGGAAGGCAGGTGTGGTGAAGCGTGCAGGGACCAGAGTGGACAGGCCTTGTCGGCTGGGAGAGAAAGACAGGGAGGGCCTGCTGGCCATGCTGAAGAGTCTTGGTGTTATCTTCTTGGCTCTAGCAAGCATGAGGGGTTGAAGCTTGGCAGGGATCTATTCCCAATGTGTCCTAAAAAGAGGCCTCTGGTTGCCACGTGAGGATTAGGCCCAACTGAGTTTGGAGGTAAGTTTGGAGAGGTAGTGACTGCAGCCACTAAAGGGAGAAACACAGGGAAGTACTGTCTTGTGGAGCTGTGGCAGGCACTGACAGTCAGCATAGAGCCTGGCACGCTGAAGGACTTTTACAAAAGTCTTGAGCTTTGCTGAGAAGATGGAACCTATGTTGGAGGCAGGAGGATCTGGACCAGACTTGGATGCTTTCCACTGCCATGGCCACTAAGTGACCTTAAACCAGTCCCTTCCCCTCTCCTAGCCTCCTTTCCTCATGTATCGCAGAGTAATACCTCCTCTCCTAGAGGGGAAGAGAGACCTTCCAAGGGAGATTTCTAGAAAGAGCTGATTAGTCCGGCCCATCCCCTCTTCAGAGGCTGCCCTTGGCTCTGCACTGACTCCTTACCTAGAACATGCCCAGCCCTCGAGACCTGACCATTACCTGACATGCGCTCCGCCACCTTTATGGCCTTAATATACTCCGCTCTTTATACATCTCTTCACCTTCTTTTCCTAGACCTGTGCTATTGTTGCTGTTTTCTTTCCCTTTTTAGCCCCTCTGAACTCACTATGGGGCCGTGGGGCCAGGGGACTGAACTCACCTGGCCAGCTGCCTGATGTGCCTTTCTTAGACAGTGATATTCAGCCTCTGGTAGAATTAGGTATTCGGGTCCTGTCTCTCTCCTAGATTGTGAGTTCCTTGAGAGCGTGGCTGTGTCTTACTCTTTCCATAGCCCCTACAGTGCCCAGCATAGGTCCTGGCACAGTGAGTATTAAGTGTTTGATGAACAAGGGACTGAATGAGTTCATTGACTGCAAATGCTCACCATGCAAGGACAGCTGTGAGGAATCCACCCATCTGTGCCTTGTTTCAGCAGTTCATTAAGCACTTTAAAATCTTATTTCACTCATTGACCCTCTGGATAACCCTGAGCGGCAGCTCTTCCTGTCTTCTTACAGATAGAGAAACTACATTCTGAAAGGTTAAGTAACTTGCCTAAGGCTGTTAAGCCAGTTGAAGGCTGAGCCAGGATAAAAAGTTTTGGCTCTTCCCCAGTAGCCTGTTAGACTGAGTTCGGCTAGACTGGCTTCTTTCTCCCGTTGTCTGTTTTACATCTGCCCGTTATAGTGGCCCAGCAGTGCTAGGCTGGGTGGCACATACTGGACTTTTTACATCTTATCCTCAGGAATGAATGTTGGACTTGGATGGCACCTACACTCTGCCTTTCCCATGAGCTTTTTTATCTACCAAAGGGTTCTACTTACATCTTTAGAAGTTTGTTTTTACCTTACCGACTTAAAAAATTTTTTTTAATTGAAGTATAGTTCATTTACAACATCATGTTTATTTTGGGTATATAGCACAGTGATTCAGTTATACATACATATTTTTTAGAAGTTTTGCCTCAGGAAACCTAAGGACTCAAGACGGTTCCCAGCCAAGCTCACATGGTGCATCTGGAATAGAACCTCTAAGGGTCTGGATTTGTAGAAGCCATGGTTGGGTGAGCACAGCCTCTTTGGCTGGTTTTCCAGGTGAAATGTCAGAGAAGCCTCACTGTTAGTCATGGGCTTCTCTGGTGGCTCAGATGGTAAAGAATCTGCCTGCAATGTGGGATACCTGGGTTTGAACCCTGGGTTGGGAAGATTCCCTGGAGAAGGGAATGGCTACCCACTCCAGTATTCTTGCCTGGAGAATCCCATGGACAGAGGAGCCTAGTGAGCTACAGTTCATGGGGTGCAAAGAATCAAACACGACAGAGCAACTGACACCCATTGTAGGGCCTGGTTTTGTGGGGCTTGTGTGGTGGCCACTGAGTCTTCTGTGGGGGTTGTTTCACAGGAAGAGAAGTCTGGTGTTCCTTAAGATGGCCTGATATGAAGGCATCACACTCCCTGCCTCCCCAAGCCTCTAGCACTGCCTGGTGGCTGCCTTGTCCTTCAAGTGCAGGAGCCAGTTGAAACGTCAGGAATGGAAGCCAATGTGGTAAGGGGCATTCCCAGGGCAGGGGTGTAGTGGGGAAGATTAAGCACTAGACCTGCTAAAAGTTCTGTAGGAAGTTCTGAGATCCTCAAGTTAATTCTTCCCCCACCCAGGCTTGGAATTGAAGGGTCCTGCCTTCCATCCCCTCCGTCCAGGCAGAACCAACTATGATTGATATTGGGGCAGTTAGGGGGTCAATGTGTTTCTGTCACTCTGTGTAGTCGGAAGGGCGGGCAGCTAACTCCTCACCCTTCTCTCTGGATCCTCCCGGCATTTATTGTGCCTCAGCAACAGTATGTGTCCTCTTAGGTATCTGGCCAAGGTGAAGGTTGACTCCTGCTAAAGGGAAGGTAGGGGAGAGGATGGGGACAGCAGTTGGATTTTTTTCTGAGGTTGTGGCTGTCTCTCTGTGCTTTAGACCATCCCAATCTGGCAAAATAAGCCGCATGGCGCTGCTCGAAGTGTAGTGAGAAGAATTGGGACCAACTTGCCCCTGAAGCCATGTCCCCGGGCATCCTTTGAGGTAAGTGAGCTGGAAAATAGTGGCCCAGAGTATACGGAAGAGTGGTGCTGCTTCTGTGACCCATACTCCTTGGCGTTGCCAAGACAGGTTGCTTTCCTGATCACGTCTTCATTTTTCAAAAAATATTTAACTGCTTTTAATGTATCCTGGTCACTGTGACTTCTGATTGCACACAAACCTGTGACCGCAAGTCAAGCTTCCCATCTGCTCATAAATTAATCATCTTGCATCTCTGATGCCTCTGCTAAGCAACTCAGATTTCATCAGGCTCCAGCAATCCAGTGTATCAGAGTAGGCCAAAGGCCCCTGCTGAATTGGATCTCCAGACTAGCCATGTCTGCTGAGGTGTGCCTGCAACCCTGGCAGGTCCCCTCATAGAACACTGAGTGCTGTGTGTGATTTTGAAATGAAGTCTGCTTTTCTTTTAATATGGTGTCACTCAGGGCTTCGCTGGTTCAGACAGTAAAGAATCTGCCGGCACTGTGGAGGACCCGGCTTTGATCTCTGAGTCAGGAAGACCCCTGGAGAAGGAAACGGCACCCAGCATTCTTGCATGAGAAATCCCATGGACAGAGGAGCCTGGTGGGCTACAGTCCGTGGGGTCTGAAAAAGTCAGACACAGCTAACACTTAAACAGCTTTTCTTCACCAGCCCTAAGGCTTGCCCTGCTTAGCTGCATATTTACAGTATTTCCCTGATGTCTATTCCTCATCCTCTCTTTTCTAGCCAAGTTTAGCCATTCCTTTACTGGGCTATTTCAGTCTCACCTCTGTGCCCTGGGGGCCTTTAGCATTCACTATAGCACAGACTAACCCAGATGAATAAGACTCCCTCGTGCAGTGGAAAGCTAAGTAGCATTTATTAGTCCTAGCTGCTTCCCTGTAAGAACTAATGGTTAAGCATCAGCTCCAAGTTAGAGGCTTAAGGTCTGTTCCTTTGGGGAGCTGGAACACAAAAGAACTACTTCAGCTTTCTGCCTACACAAAGGAGACAGAAATATGTGCCTGAAAAGATGTAGGCCTGGGGCGAAACAAATGAAGGAGCTGAGTTTGTATATCGGATGCTGAGCTGCAAACTGTGTAGGAGCTTATCTGGAGTCTGAATTGGAATAGGTTTGGGGTTCGATGCAGGGTGTGGTCTCTTGACTGATTGTCAGTTATTGCCTAGGGCTGAATGTGGCCCTGGCTGCCTCAAGCATCAGGAACAAAGGGAAGGATAGCTTGGGAGCATGAGTCAGTCATGGTTGCCCCCACATTTGACTATAGCCTCTCCAGTTCTTTGGCTGGATGCTGCCGGGCAGAGATAAACAAGGGCACAGACTCCCACAGAGCAGAATTCGTATTAGCAATACCACATTTGTTGTAAATTGATTACCTTAAATATTTTTAAGGGAATCTTATTGATTTACTTTTTAATTTACCCATATGAAAACATTAAATTATGAAAAAAAGGGAAACAAATTGCCTGTAATCACATAGTCATGACACACGTTTTAGTTCTTTCCCGTATTTTTCTTTTTTTCTCCTCCCTACCTAGGATTGCTGGTTTTTGGTTTTTTTTTGATTAGGATATTTTCTGAGCTAATTTTATAAAGTCTGTGTTCTTCGTTGTGTGTTGTCAATAAAGCCTATATTTGGTTAGCTTAATAATTAGTTAATGATTGGACAGAAATTTTCTTAAACGCCTGTAAACAATATCCCTGCATCTTGCTAAGGGTTTTGTGTGTGTGTATGTTGGAGCAAACCTTCAACACTCGGGCAGGTAATAACTTTGCCTTCTTCCTTGGGCAGGCCTCAAGGTCAGCCTACAGTGAGAACATAGGGCCTTCTCTGATCTTTCCTGAGCATGTGCACAGCCCTGGTCATATATATGGCCCTACTCATCTTATGGGCCTCTAGATTCCCAGAGATATGCTGGAGCTTCTTAATGCCCCTGTGGGCATCTCATTCCTCAGCCTTTCTTTTTATTTTTTTTCCCGTATTTTTCTAAGCATGTATTTTTCTTTGTTGTAAACAGAATATAATTGAACCTTCCTAAGTTTTCATTTAACATGGTGTCACTCAGTCTCCCTGTTCCCTAGTTGTTCATTTGGGTGGAGGAGCTATTTTAAGGAATTACATTATGATTCCTTTTGTATAATTAGCCATTTTTTAACATTTAAATCTAAATAGTCAAATTATCAACTTTGCTTCTAACAGTATTGCTATAACATGTAGATCCCGGTATGCTACAAAAGTGTTGTAAAGAGCTTGCCAGAAGAAATTTCCTGTTGATATAACAGATTGTCCATGTCCTTGTACCTGTATTCTCACAGCCAGAAGGCTAAACAGTGGGCATCTCTGTTAAAAAGTAACTCTTGCCAGTCATACTGAAGATGATTTTGCTCTAGCCAGGTGTTAGCAGAGGACCAGATAGTAAATATTTTAGGCTCTGGGCCATATCGGTCTCCATTATAGCTACTTACTTCTGCAGTTATAGCTTGAAAGCCATGACAAGTAAAACTTAAACAAATGAGTGTGACTCTTTTTTCCAATAAAATCTTATGACTGCTCTCTTCACCTTCCCATCCATGCTCCAAACTGTAGCCAGAGTAATCTTTTAAGACCTCACATCTAATCCTTACTTACTTGACCTTTCAATGGCTTATTTCAGAGCTCCTAATTCACTTTCCAGTCTCTCCCAGCTCTCCACCACTCTATCCTTCCTGTTCCAGCCATGCTGAATTATTTGTAATTTCATAGACTCTACTTCTGGCCTCTTATTCAAGCTGCTTCCAACTGGGACATCCTTTAGGAAGTCTTCCCTACCTCCAGTGCTGGATTAGATGTTCCCCGTATGTATTTTGCCCAGTTTCCAGTTGTCTCATCACAATGGCAGTAAGTGTTAATGAATTTTCCTTCCCCACAGACCCTGCCCAACATCTCTGACCTGTGTCTGAGGGATGTGCCCCCAGTTCCTACCCTGGCTGACATTGCCTGGATTGCTGCAGATGAAGAGGAGACTTATGCCCGGGTCAGGTAGCTGAGGCAGTAGCCTGCCAGCTGGGGAATGAAAAGCTTCTTCACGGATGAGGTGGTAGGCAGAAGAACAGTGAGATGGAGGGCAACAGGAGTGAGAGCTAGGAGTGGGAGTAGAACCTGGCTGTGTTACTTTTATTTTTTAAGAGCAAGGAGATAAGAAAAAAAAAAAAGAGCAAGGAGATGAATCTCCTTTATTTGTTTAATTTTTGGCTGCACTTGGTCTTAGTTGCTATGCGCAGGCTTCTCATTGCAGTGGCTTCTCTTATTGCGGAGCATGGGCTCTAGGGGCATGGACTTCAGTAGTTGTGGCACACAATTCAGTTGCCCTGCAGCATGAGGAATCTTCCCAGATCGGGGTGAAACCCTGTTCCCTGCATTAGCAGGCAGATTCTTAATCACTGGACCACCAGGAAAGTTTGGCTATATAACTCTTGCAGGAGTGTAGGAAGGAATTTTGGAAGCAGTGCACTGGCCCATGTCTCTGACACTTTTCTCTCCCTGGTCCAGGAGCGATACACGCCCCCTGAGGCACACCTGGAAGCCCAGCCCTCTGATCGTCATGCAGCGCAATGCCTCAGTGCCCAACCTGCGTGGGTCAGAGGAGAGGCTCCTGGCCCTGAAGAAGCCAGCCCTGCCAGCCCTCAGCCGCACCACCGAGTTGCAGGATGAGCTGAGCCACCTGCGCACCCAGATTGCCAAAATAGTGGCAGCTGATGCAGGTAGGAGCCCCTTAGCCAGGACCAAATAGCAGGCTGTTTGTTTTTGCTTAGCTTTTGGACAGGATAGGGATAAAAATGGTCCTTGATTCGGGGGTGCTGGAGTCTAGGGCTCTGGGACTGCCCTAAAGCCTGGCTAGCCTGTATAATCTTTGGATGGTTCCTGTCAGCCATTTGGTGCAGACTGGTTGGGTTAGGAACAAAATCTTCACTTAATCTGGGGTCCCAGGCAGATTCCCTCCCTCAGCCACAAAAACCAGCTCTCTTCCAAATGTCTTTGAAGATCATGTCTTCTATGAGTGCTCAGTGGCTTTTCTTTTCAATATGAAAAGTAAGTATTCCCTACCACTGAGAGATATCCCCCTTTGTAAGCATATTTTCCCTTTCCTTGCACTCTTGAGTTTCTACCAGAGACCACGTCTCTATCCTTCAGTCTTTCTGTCTGCAGTTAAGGCAGAATCACTGGGAATGGATGGGCTGACCAGATGCAGGAAATACCAACAGGTGGATCTCTCCCATGATGCTCAGTGTTTAACCCTCATATTCCTCCCATTCTCACTTTTTTGCTACTCATTGACTCAAAGTCGTAGCTCTCAAACCTTGTCAGTTGGTAGAACATGTGAAAATCATGGTTTTCTCTTTGAAATTTTTATGTATTTAATTCCCTCATGTGGCAATTTTATAAAGAAAATGGATTTGAGTTTTCCATTTATATTTGTTCGCTACATTTTTTTTATCATCCAAGAGACATGCTGAAGTAGTTTAGGAGAAATCCAAAAATATTCCCTATAAACTTAGAAATTAAGGAAATTCTCTCCATTAAAATTTGGGAACTGGGAGAACTATCACCATTCTGGTTTTTTTGCTGTAGAACAGTTCTTCCAGTCACAGATAGCTGCATTCAAAGGAGCACAGTCAGAAGCACTGGCCTAGTTAGAGAAAAGGACGAATTCAGGCCATGGTTCTACACTATTGCTTCACCCTAAAGAGTGCTGTCATTCCATTGCCCACTGCAAAATGGGAGCTTTTAGGAAGCAAGGCCTTTATGGGGTAGGTTTTTCTGCCCTTCTGAACACTGAAAAAGCATAGTGCTGCTACATCTTCTTAAGATCCTGAGAGGGGAAGCTAGTGGAGGAACCCAGAATGTCATGGTGTCAGCCCAGGAAATGAATATTTGGTAGGCAGTGCTTGTGGGGAGATGTAACTGTTGTATTTTAGCCACAATGTCCATCCATGCCTATTGTTTTCTCTTTCAGCTTCGGCTTCATTAACGCCAGATTTCTTATCTCCAGGAAGTTCAAATGTCTCTTCTCCCTTACCTTGTTTTGGATCCTCATTCCACTCTACAACTTCCTTTGTCATTAGTGACATCACCGAGGAGACCGAGATAGAGGTCCCTGAGCTTCCGTCAGTCCCCCCGCTTTGTTCTGCCAGCCCTGAATGTTGCAAACCAGAACACAGAGCTACCTGCAGCTCGTCTGAAGAGGATGACTGCGTCTCTCTGTCCAAGGCCAGCAGCTTTGCAGATATGATGGGCATCCTAAAGGACTTCCACCGGGTGAGGCAGAGCCAAGACCTGTAAGTGTGCGTTAAGGAGCTTATGATGATCATTTGGGGGGCGGGCAAAGGGGGCTCTGCTGGGGCTTCATTATGCCACTCCGGGTATGGGATCTTTGTTTTGGTATGTGGGATCTAGTTCCCTGACCAGGGATTGAACCCAGGCCCGCTGCATTGAGACCTCAGAATCTTAGCCACTGAACCACCAGGGAAGTCCCCTATGATGGTCTGTTTATTGTTTAAGTTGCCTGTGGCCAATTACTAATAGAAAGTAAATACTTACATTGTAAATCCTCATTAGTAGCAATGTGTAATTTCATCCACAAAGCTTCCTGCCCACTTGCTAGTGCCTCAGGCCCCCAGTTTGAGAAAAGAGCAACACTTTACATTTGGTTGGGGTGACCCCCAACCAAATGTTACTAAACACAGGTTTAATAAGAAGGCTCATCTAATCCAGCTTCTGTCCTCCAACAAGGCTTCACCACTTTGGTTCTCATACTGCTAGTAATAAGTGTCCTTGTGCCCCATCCTTCAAAGTACAGTTTCATAATAGTTATTTTAGTATCTCAAAAAAGTAGACTTAATTGGTGGAAGGAAAATTCCCTTTAAACAGGGGTCCATTATTCAAACCAACCCTGGAAACACAGATTTACGAACAAACTTTTGAGACTCCTAGTTCCTAACCCTGGCTGCCTATCAGAATTGCTTGGGTTTGTTCAAAATACACTTCAAACTTAGCAAAGCAGAACACCCAAGGAGTAGAACTCTAGGTGTTTCTGATGGGAGTGTGAGGGGATTTGGGAAATACCTACCATGAGAAACTCATCTAGCAGAGAAGCCCTAGAGCTCCAGCCTGAGAGTCACCTGCTTGCAGTGTTTCTCTACTGCACGGGACATACCAGAAGTGTTTATTTAAGTGTAGATTCCTGGGCATTGAAACGTTTGACATCTCGACCTCAAAGTCCAGAGGCCAGGTGTGCAGCTGTATTTTTAATGCAGTTAAAAAGCTGTTTTTAGCCTCTTCAATAAATGATGCTGGGAAAACTGGACAGCTACATGTAAAAGAATGAAATTAGAACACCTCCTAACACCATACACAAAGATAAACTCAAAATAGATTAAAGACCTAAATGTAAGACTAGAAACTATAAAACTCTTTATTAGAGGAAAACATAGGCAGAACACTCGATGACATAAATCACAGCAAGATCCTCTATGACCCACCTCCTAGAGTAATGGAAATAAAAACAGAAGTAAACAAGTGGGATGTGATTAAACCTAAAAGCTTTTGCACAGCAAAGGAGACCATAAGCAAGGTGAAAAGACAGCCCTCAGAATGGGAGAAAATAATAGCAAATAAAACTGACAAAAGATCAATTTCCAAATATATAAGCAGCTCATACAACTCAATGCCAGAAAAACAACCCAATCAAAAAGTGGGGAAAAGACCTAAACAGACATTTCTCCAAAGAAGACATACAGATGGCTAACAAACACATGTAAAAGATGCTCAACATTGCTCATTATTAGAGAAATGCAAATCAGAAATACAATGAGCTATCACCTTACACCAGTCAGAATGGCCCTCATCAAAAAGTCTACAGACAAATGCTGGAGAGGGTGTGGAGAAAAGGGAACGCTCTTGCACTGTTGGTGGGAATGTAAGTTGATACAGCCACTATGGAAGATGGTATGGAGATTCCTTAAAAAACCACCAGAAGACCTGGCAAGCCCACTTCTAGGCATATACCCTGAGGAAGCCAAAATTGAAAGAGACACATGTATCCCATTGCTCATTGCAGCACTATTTACAATAGATAGAATACGGAAGCAACCTAGATGTCCATCTACAGATGAATGGATAAAGAAGTTGTACATATACACAATGGAATATTAGCCACAAAAAAGAACACGTTTGAGTCAGTTGTAATGAGGTGGATGAACTTAGAACCTATTACAGGTTCAGAAAGAAAGAAATACCAGAGAGGGAGGTGGGAGGGGGGACCGGGATGGGGAATACATGTAAAAAAAAAAAAAAAAAAAGATACACTATGGTTGTGATAAATTAATTAATTAATTAATTAAATAAAAAAAATAAAAAAAAAAGAAAGAAATACCATATTCTAACACGTACATCTGCACTCAATATGTCAGCAAATTTGGAAAACTCAGCAGTGGCCACAGGACAAAAAGGTCAGTTTTCATTCTAATCCCAAAGAAAGGCAATGCCAAAGAATGCTCAAACTACTGCACAGTTGCACTCATCTCACATGCTAGCAAAGTAATGCTCAAAATTCTCCAAGCCAGGCTTCAGCAATTGTGAACCGTGAACTTCCAGATGTTCAAGCTGGTTTTAGAAAAGGTAGAGGAACCAGAGATCAAAATGCCGACATCCGCTGGATCATGGAAAAAGCAAGAGAGTTCCAGAAAAACATCTATTTCTGCTTTATTGACTATGCCAAAGCCTTCGACTGTGTGGATCACAGTAAACTGTGGAAAATTCTTAAAGAGATGGAAATACCAGACCACCTGACCTGCATCTTGAGAAACCTGTATGCAGGTCAGGAAGCAACAGAACTGGACATGGAACAACAGACTGGTTCCAAATAGGAAAAGGAATACGTCAAGGCTGTTTATTGTCACCCTGTTTATTTAACTTATATGCAGAGTACATCATGAGAAATGCTGGGCTGGAGTAAGCACAAGCTGGAATCAAGATTGCTGGGAGAAATATCAATAACCTCAGATATATAGATGACACCACCCTTATGGCAGAAAGTGAAGAACTAAAGAGCCTTTTGATGAAAGTGAAAGAGGAGAGTGAAAAAGTTGGCTTAAAGCTCAACATTCAGAAAACTAATCATGGCATCCGGTCCTATCACTTCATGGCAAATAGATGGGGAAACAGTGTCAGACTTTATTTTGGGGGGCTCCAAAATCACTGCAGATGGTGATTGCAGCCATGAAATTAAAAAGATACTCCTTAGAAGGAAGGTTATGACCAACCTAGACAGCGTATTAAAAAGCCAGGACATTACTTTGTCAACAAAGGTCTGCCTAGTCAAGGCTATGGTTTTTCCAGTAGTCATGTATGGATGTGAGAGTTGGACTATAAAGAAAGCTGAGCCCAGAAGAATTGATGCTTTTGAACTGTGGTGTTGGAGAAGACTCTTGAGAGTCCCTTGGACTGCAAGGAGATCCAACCAATCCATTCCTAAAAGAAATCAGTCCTGGGTGTTCATTGGAAGGACTGATGTTGAAGCTGAAACTCTAGTACTTTGGCCACCTGATGCAAAGAGCTGACTCATTTGAAAAGACCCTGATGCTGGGAAAGATTGAGGGCAGGAGGAGAAGGGGACGACAGAGGATGAGATGGCTGGATGGCATCACTGACTCAATGGACATGAGTTTGGGTGGACTCCGGGAGTTGGTGATGGTCGGGCAGGCCTGGCGTGTTGTGGTTCATGGGGTCTCAAAGAGTTGGACACGACTGAGCAACTGAACTGATAACCAACACATACATATATGTGAAATCTAGAAAAATGGTAATGAAGAATTTATCTATAGGGCAGCAGTGGAGAAACAGAATAGACTTATGGACATGGGGAGAGGGGAGGAGAGGGTGAGATGTATGGAAAGAGTAACACGGAAACTTACATTATCATATGTAAAATAGATAGCCAATGGGAATTTGCTGTATGGCTCAGGAAACTCAAACGGGGGCTCTGTATCAAACTAGAGGGGTGGGATAGTGGGGGAGATAGGAGGGAGGTTCAAAAGAGAGGGCATATATGTATACCCATGGCTGATTCATGTTGAGGTTTGACAGAAAACAGCAAAAATCTGTAAAACAATTATCCTTCAATAAAAAATAAAAAATTGTTGGGACGGATGCAAATAAGCCAGTATCTGCAGACGTGTAAATCTTACATTTCAGAATTGTCCTTTGTTAAGTGTCCTAATTACAAAACCATCTGTGAACCTACAAACAGATTAATCAGTCTGTAGCTACACATGAGTTAACTAGGGCTCAGATGTTGTACATTGTTTGCTTATTCATTTTATGCCATCAAAAATTCTTTTGCCTTTATAAAAAGAGTTTTCAGGGCTGGGGAGGTGAGGGCTGTCTCCTGAAACAATAAGTTACTCTTAAAGAGACGGTGACTCACCTCACACAAGATCCCTTTTTGTTTTCTGGTCCCATTTTCTTCTGAAAACTAGACAAAAGTGCTGGTAGTGGATCCTACTACCTGTCCCTAGTCAGGCTGGTCATACAGACCTACAATTCTTTGATCTCCAGCATTCCCAAATTCAGCTGCTGCTGCTTTCTTCTGATCAGTATTTTATAGATTGACTCTCCAACTTTCTTAAACTTGCCTCTTGTACCAAATAGATTTGTGATCCCGTACTGCTAAGCCCTTCTTCTCACTCATGTCCTGGGATCTTTTCTCCTTTGTTGATAGAAGGAGCTGGGTTGATGACTAAGAATGGGAAAGTAGTCCTGTTCTCAAGGTTCAGAAATGTGTCAGACTGGAGGCAGTTCCTCTTGGTTTGGTTTTCGAGATTTAATAATAATCTTAGCCCTTATTAGCATAATGACCAATAAAATGCTTTCATGAGGTATGTATGTATGTAAGTTCACTAGGATTTCAAGCAGCTACTTTCCAGGAACATACCTGAGGTTATCAGGTAATTTGAATCTACCCTAATCTGGAACTGGTTTTGCTCCCATGGGTCCCTTATGATGTGAACATTTACCTATAAATTCTGGATTGCTTGTAAGATAGAGCCAGTAGGTGGGAGCAGAAGCTTAGCCACGACAGGCCAGTACCAACGGGTTAATGGTCCTTTGCCCACATTTTATAGCCATTGAAGGAAATAGTAAAACTATGTCTAGTTAAAAGATGAGATCTGCAAGCTTGTTTTTAAACTCTTGACTCATCGCTTACTGACTAATGACTTTGGGCATAGTCATAACATTGCTGTGCTTCAATCTCCTCATTGGTAAAAAAGGATTGTAATAGCTTCTACCTCATAAGAGTGTTTTGAAGAGTAAATGAGATTGTATTCCAACACACAAAACACTGCCCAGGACAGAGTAAGTACTCAATCAGTTCAGTCACTTGTCATGTCTGATTCTTTGCGACCCCATAAACCGCAGCATGCCAGGCCTCCCTGTCCATCACCAACTCCCGGAGCCTACCCAAACTCATGTCCATTGAGTCGGTGATGCCATCCAACCATCTCATCCTCTGTTATCCCCTTCTCCTGCCCTCAATCTTTCCCAACAACAGGGTCTTTTCCAGTGAGTCAGCTCTTCGCACGAGGTGGCCAAAGTATTGGAGTTTCAGCTTCAACATCAGTCCTTCCAATGAACACCCAGGACTGATCTCCTTTAGGATGGTTGGATCTCCTTGCAGTCCAAGGGACTTTCAAGAGTCTTCTCCAACACCACAGTTCAAAAGCATCAATTCTTCAGTGCTCAGCTTTCTTTATAGTCCAACACTCATATCCATACATGACTACTGGACAAACCAAAGTACTCAGTAAACATAAGCTATTATTCTATTTCTAGGAGCCGGAGTTCACTGAAGGAGGAAGATCCTGCTGTTCTTATCTCTGAGGTTCTAAGGAGGAAGTTTGCTCTGAAGGAAGAAGATATCAGTAGAAAAGGGAACTGATAGCACTCAGCTCTGCAACTCAGTCTCACGCTCCTGGAATTCCTTCAGTAGCTGCCTTCATCACTGCAGATGTTTCTGCCCATCAGTTAGAAGTCTGCACAGTCTTGCCGAAAGCTAGAGCTTGGACTAAGAAGAGCTGCATTATGTTTTCCATACTCAAACCTTAGAAGCTAAAGGACTGTTTTGAGCTGAGACACAGGTAATTATATACATTGGAATGTCTCAATTTAAAGGGTGAGATAGAACTTTCTGGTTTTTCCTTTCTCCTGTGTGAAAGTAGGTCCTAAATGAAAGACTGACTTCACTGCACTAGACCCCATAACTGGTCTCACCAAACACTTTGTGCCCAGCTGTCACTCACTCAGCCGCTTCCTTGCAGCAGAGCAGGGCTGAGGGGAGCAGGCTATAAATGTATGCGCACGTTCACAGGGCAGGGAAAATCTTATGCTGCTCCATCATGAACTGACACCAATGCCCAGCAATCATTCTCTCCCCCTTCCCTGTCTTAACACCTACATGTAGAGGTTGGGCCACTGGACCAGCTGAGACTTGGGCTACTGCTGGGAGGCCTGGGCTGTTTTTTTCTTAAATATATTTTGTAATACTGTACAACCAAATCTACCCTCCAAGGCCCTGCCGCCTCATTGGTTCCACTGATTGAAAGCTTTCTCTTCCATGGACTTTAAGCCCAACAGGAAAGAGAAATGAAGAGGTGAATCTTCCAGGCCCTTGACTGCTCCTTTGCGTGGGGCCAAGGTTTGTACTTACCATACCATGCATGACTCAGATGCCCTCAGGTCCTTTTCTCTACAGTCTGTATCCTGTGTGTGTTTGGGTGGAAGCACTACCTGACATTAAAGGAAGGATTTGGAGAGATACTGCGTTTGTTGTGTCCATCTCTTGAGTTGTGACCACCCAGTATCCCCCACAGGTATAGAATTCCTATAATTTCAAGGTATATGAGCTTTTGTAAACAGGTTCCTGCCTTTATAGGAGGAAGCTTCTTCCCTAGGGAGCTTCTTGTCCCCTTTAGAAACACTTCTTAAAGCCAGTCCATCCTATAACTTGCACGCTTGCCCCCAGAGGCTTATTTTTAAGCCTCCTAGGTACCACACCTGCAACATAGGAAACTGCCGCCCGGTGGATGATGTCTTGAATAGAACATAAATCAATTTATGTTCAGATCAGACCCGTGGCAATGACGGAACATTGCTTTTTCAGAAAAATGAAATTGGTAATGTTTTAGTTACCATCAGAGCCAGCTTTGTAAACAGTTGTTTATTTGGATTCATAGTTTTACAAAGGGAGTTCTCTCCCACCTTGTAGTAGAAGAATGATACAGTCACGTTTAGTTCATTGTAAGTCAGCCCTTTTCAGGGAGATGTTTAAACATATATAACCTTAAAATGCTGTAAAGTTACCACAAAAATAAAATAACAAAACTACCTAATCATTCTACTTCTCTGTCTATCCTCCCTGCCCCTGTATGCCTGGGTCTGGGAGAATTGCCTAACATCACTCAAAAGTGTCGAGAATAGTGGTGACAAGCTTAGGTTGAGTGGGTAAGATTACAGCCAAAGATTAGAAACACACAGATCCATAAGCAGCAGCTTCCAAATCAGAAGCATCGATAAGGGCAAAGAGGTGCCTCTGTGCAGGCTGCATAGCAGGCTCCAGTGGAGGGATGAGTACCTGCCCTGCCCCTTCAGTGATCACCACAACTCATGCAGGGAATTCACCAGCCACCTCATCATCAGGGCAAGACATGAAGCCAATCACACTATCTCAACAAGTGGTACCACCTGCTTTATTGACACAAAGAAAATGCTCAGTAACTACAGCCTCATCCCACGCCCCCCTCCTACCAAAGATCATTCTCCTGAAGGAGTTCTAAAAGATCGTACATTCCCCTACTCAAACATACTCACCCCCTGAAGATGCTTTCTTACATGCCATTTCTAGGTACTTTTATTAGAAACAAGCCCCGAAACCCTCACAAAGACATTTAGGCTTGGTGCCTGATAACTTGATTACCTTCAGAGTCCTGGGTAAAGAGCGAATCAGGCTGCAGATTGAACTGGGTGGTCCTGTCCTGGCACTGAGCCCAAGGGCTATTAGGGACCTGCCCATAACCCTGATTTTGGTCATTGGTTACATCTCGGAAAGGAGCTCTAGAGTTGTGGGCAATGACCCGCTGACCCTGAGAATCCTCTGTGAAAAGGTGACTCCAGGAGTCCTTGTCATTCCTTTCACTGTCCCAGGAAAACTCAGGAATAGGACAAGGGCTTTGTTTCACTGCCTTTGTGTTTGCTCCGCTCCGGGAATCCTTGTATGTTTGAAGGACAGGGGCCTGCCTGTTTCTTTTGGCAGACACATTTTCCAAGTTACTCTTATCCAAGAGCTGATGGCCCTTATGCCCAGTTTTACTGTGTCTCTCCACACTCTGATAATTATTTTTCTTAGATCCATGAAGCCATTCCCTTTCACAGGAAGAATCCTCTCCCTCCTTTTGGTCCAGCAAGCAAGAACTCTCCAGGTCCTGGGCGAAGGTGCAGGCCAGTGAGGCCTTACTCTCTCCAGCACAGATTGAGGTATCAGGCCGGAGCAAAGACAGCACAGTCGAGCATGGGGTTTCTATTCCATGCTGGTAAGAAGCCTTGCAAGACTGAGGAGAAAGTCCAGCTTCCTGGATGTCTGCAGGGGTTGAAGTGACTAAAGGGGGTGCCATGAAGTCATCGGGCAAGCCCTGGGTCAGATGTTCCAACTGGGTTGCGTCTTCCTTAGACTCTTTGTTGGTCTGACTTTCTGAATGAGATAAAACACTCCTCTGGTCAGCACCATTTGTCTTTCCTAGTAAAAGAGATGAACAAATATTATTCTGCAGGAAAACTCCACCTGAGTAGGATTTAGGTGGCTTTTTCTGTAATCAGTATCAGCTACCATAACTACCTTTGATCTTCCTGCTTTCAATCTCTATTCTAAAACACAGCTCTTATATTCCCCTTCTCAAATATATAGGTGCTTCCTTTGACCTACCTAATGAAGTCAAACTTGGCATATAATCAGACCACAGCCTACTCTTCCAGTTGCACTTTCATGTTATGGGTTTGTTTAACACAATAGGGCTGATCAGTTTTGCTTTTGTTTTTTATTTAACATGTAGTTTCTTCTAAATAGTGATGCTGGCCAAATATTACTCCTGGATATTATCCTTTGAGAAACATGTTCAATATATACCATTTATGTAAAGTCTCAGAGATCACATTAACCAGCCAACTCAGAAATCTTCCGACAGTGAGAATGTAGGTCTCCCGCTCCCCAAATATTTCATGGAAAAGGGAATAAAGATACAATTATTTGCTAAGTCAATCAGTAGACAGGATGATTAAAAAAATTATTAGTGTCCAGACTGTACATTTTATCAGGTGTGGAATGGATCCTGTCTGCCTTAAGGATAAAGAAACATGAAATTCCTACTCCACCACAAATGATGCCAAGATCTAATTATAAACAAAGCTGATAATTTTCTTCTTTCCTTCTCCAAGAAAATACTATAGAAATTGTTTTAAAAGAGTTCTCAACTTTGTCTAAGATTTCAATACAGACTATACAGAATATACAAGAATTTTGAATTGGAAAGTGGTTTTGAAAAAATCTGCACTCGTTGCTTAAAGCAAGATTGTTTTAAGTTTTTGTTTCTGGTAGGGAGAAAGCATTTTGAAGGCTTAGGCAAAGCAGTCCTGGGAACTGCACCAAGAATTAGAACTCTTCCCAGCACCCTTCAACTGACAAGAATCCTGCTCTGTAAGCCCCTGCCTGCTCTGAGGCAGCTGGTCCCCAAAGAGGAACATGCGAACAAAGAATTGCCAAAGAATGATGAGACACAGGCCAAGCTTTCTAAGAAAAGAAACACCTTTGAACTTTGATTAATTTGAGAAGCTTCATATAGACATATCAATTATCAGTTAATCTTATACAGACTACCAACTGTAGCCAATCAAGACATATACCTTACTAATACATATACCTTACTAATGGTTCCCCTTTGCACCCCCAATCCTCAAGTATACCCTTCCTCACTGTTCTGTCAAAGAATACCAATATATAATTTTAGACTGATAAATAGAACCAGAAAAGCATGTTTGTAAAAGCACATATATATTGCTTTTCAAAAGACGATGCTTTCTTGTGCTCTATAACTCATCTAGTAAGTCAGCTAAGTTTAACACAAAGCACTAGTGACACCACTTCTCATAAGTGTTCCAGCTTGGAAAAATGAGTGCACTCGCTTTTGCACCCTGACTGCTTCCAGTGTGCTCACCATACCTGGCTGCAAGGTGAGGAAGGAAGCAATGCTGGTCTGCCGAGTGCCTGCAGATGGACAGCTTCTTTGAGTAAAAGAAATTTTAGCCTTTCTCTCTCCAGGAAGGAGTGTTAACATTTTGGTGCTTGACTTGATTAAATGTGTCTAAGGAAGGGGAGAAAAAGAATAATAGAAACGATTAATATCAAGACAGCTACTAGACTAGGAAAGACTCAATAAACACCAGTTGCCCTCTTGGAACCACACTAGATCTTTTGGACTCCACATATACTCACTCTTCTCTAGTTTTGGCTGTACCTCACCTTCCACCATTTCTGCCATACTGATGGTGTCTGTTTTTCCTCAAGAATCATATATTCCAATTCTAGCCCATTCTTTCTGCTTCCCTGTGGAAATCAGGCAGGCTGACTAAACAAAGAGGATTTATTGAAGGGATTCCACAGATGATATTCTCTCCTTTATATTTAAAGATAATTTGTGATTCTGCATCAGCAGCAGTTAGTTCATTTTCAGTAGTTTTCAAATAGTCACATAGTGGTTTAACAGCATGGCTCGAGTCACAGAGCTGCTGCTCAAATCAGCCCCAGTTTTGCCACAGCCCATTAGCTGCATGACCCTCTAGAAGTTGTTTGATCTCTGTATCATTCTCATTGTGAAATGGAGACAATAACAGTAC